TGGAACTGGGATCAAATTAACTCTGCCATTGTTCCTGGATGGGGTGTGTCAATCTACACCACAGTGGTCTCCCTCGCTATGATCAAAGTGCCTTGGCCTGACCACCCCTCTCTTAAATGAGTACAATTACCCCTTCCATGTCACTAGGGTTAGGGGAACGGCACCACCTCAATCTGGAAAATCTGAATAAAAATTTTTGGTCCTCCTCACCATGGGGAAAGTTACGATGTGGAAGGGATAGCTATAGTTTCCCCCAATAAAATGTAAGTTCTCCTCCTAAGCAAGGAAGACCCTTGTTTTTGAATTTGTAACCCCAATGGTTAGTGCAGCACTTAGCACACAGTGATTAATAAATGCTTCTTCATTCATACATTCATACAGTAATTGAGGGAGGTGGGGAAGAGTGTTGGAAGGCAAGGATTAGGACCTTGTGAGTTCATCAGGTAGAGAACTCACCATATGAATACTCCCTCCACAAGCTGCAGGAATTTTGTCTTTGAGAATTACACTGACACATACCCAGGTCAGCCAACTTCATTACAGATCAGGATTTGAATCCAGAACTTCCCGCCTGCCAGCCATCAATTCATGAAGCCACTCCAACTCTCAAACAGGACATGTGCACTGATAAATATAATATGTGCCAGAAAAAGAGTGACAGAAGAGGAGCACAAAGTACCCTGAGATGAGAGGAGAGGAGGTCAAAATAGTAACAACTGCCTTGAAAGTTTGCAAAATGTTTCATAGGCATGAGTTCACTTGGCTTTCCTTTCCATCTGGGAAGAGTCAGGGCCCCCTCTGGCACCATCTGGGGAAGCCTAAGGGAGGCAGCCGGATGGCACAGTGAGTGGGTGAGAGCCTTGGCCTTGAATACTGATCACTTCCTAGCTGTGAGATAAGAGTGACTCAATTTCTGCCTGCCTCGGTTTCCTCATCTGTAAAATAGCACCCTACCTCCGAGCATAGTTGTGAGAATCCAATGCTCTAACATTTTTAAAATGTTTTGAAAACCTTGAAGTGCCATATAAATGCTAGCTATCACCATTATTGTTATTATTATTATTGTAAAATTGTAGTTGTCCAAGCAGTCAGAAAGAAACAATTCAAGTATTGTGGAAACACAATCAGAATAACACAGGATGTAGCAGCTTCTACATTAAGGGACCAAAGGGCTTGGAATATAATATTCTGGAGGGCAAAGGAGATAGGATTACAGCCAAGAATCAACTACCAGCAAAAGTGAGTATAATCCTTCAGGGGAAAAAAAATATACTTTCAGTGAAATAGAGGGCTTTCAAGCATTCTTGATGAAAAGACCAGAGCTGAATAGAAAATTTGACTTTCAAATATAAGACTCAAGAGAAGCATGAAGAGGTAAACAGGAAAGAGAAATCATAAGGGATTTATTAAGGTTGAATTGTCATTCCTACATGGAAAGATGCTATTTGTAACTCATGAGACCTTTGTCAGTATTAGGGTAGTTGTAGGGAAAAAATATATGTGTATATACATATACGTATATACATATATATAGGTATAGATATAGATAGATAGATAAAGGGCACAGGATGAGTTGAAGATGAAGGGGTGATATCTGGAGAATAAAATTAAGGGGTGAAAGAGGATTATACTAGGAGAAGGAGAAAGGGAGAGGTACAATGGAGTAAATTATCTCACATAAAAGAGGAAAGAAAAGATTTTTACAGTAGAGGGGAAGTGGGGGAAGGTGAGAGGGAATGAGTAAATCTTATTCTCATCAGATTTGGCTTAAGGAGGGAATAACATACATTGGAATCTTACCCTACAGGAAAATAGGGGGGAAGGGGATAAGAGAGCCAGGGAATGATAGAGGGGAGGGCAGATTGGGGGAGGGGGTAATCAGAAGCAAACACTTCTGAGAAGGGACAGGGTCAAAAGAGAGAATAGAATAAACGGAGGGCAGGAAAGGATGAAGGGAAATATACTTAGTTTTTCACAACAGGACTACTATGGAAGTGTTTTGCATGACTATACATCTATAACCTGTACCGAGTTGCTTGCCTTCT